TGCAGTTCCTGAGCCAGGAATGGCGACAGAGGGCAACAGCACCAACAAGAGCCCTCGAGTCGCAGTCGACATGATGTCTTGCTGTAGAAAGTTGTTGAATAGCCACTTGCATCACCTCTCGAGTGAACATGCGAGCCAGGTCTCTCTGTTTCTCCGGCTGTGACACGGTGATGTTCTCCAACTTCTGCATCAAGAAGTATTGATATCTCATCAGTGTCGCCTCATAGTTGGAGATGCGGAGGCCGAGACTTGTGGTGGCATAGATATGGCGAGCCATCATGTCAATCTTTCGCCCTTCCTTGGCCTTGGGAGTAGAGTGCTCCCTGGTGTCCTGGCCCTGGGACTACTCCATGACAATAGAGTATGGCTTGGGATGACAAAGGAGGAATGGGATATTTTGTTCCCGTACTGTATACATTGACTCGTATTGCCGTGAAGCTGGTTGAAGAACCACCAGATTCAGCCATGGCTTGGCGAAGGGTCATAATCAGCGGCAGAACGACAGCAGCGGATTGCTTTTTCTTCACAATGCTGTAGAAGTTGTCAGTACTGGGATCAAAGTGGTGCTGGGCCTCGATCTCCAGTGACCTAGCCAATCGTGCCATCAGTTCCCCAAATGTAGAGTACGATTCCTCGGGAGAACTGGGACCTTGAGTAGATATGATGGCATCCAGTGAAGTTGACGCTATGTCTGAGTCCTCCAAATCCAAGTTGTACTGGAATGGAGGATGGATGAGGAGTCAGCTGATGAGGAAGGACATCTAAGTTGAACAGCTGCCGACATCAAGGGAGCCTCTCTCGGTACCGGAGACGAGATGGAATGGTGTGGATGCACGAATGGGTAGTACCCATACAGTGGGTAATAATCTCAAGGCTCCCGATGGGCATCACCACAGGGCATCTGAACCCAGTCTCCGGAAGGCCGATCGGACGCACGCTGCTGCTGGCGCACCTGCTGAGATGGGGCCCTCGGAAAGACCTCAGGAGAAGGCTGTGGTGGAGTCGGTGAGCGTGCCGTTGGAGGAGCCATCTGAGGAGAGTCCAGAATCTCTCCATCAGAAATGGATCCTGTTAAGACTGCCTCCAAATGGTCTGGTGAAGACAGGGCCGAGGTGGTGATCTGCTGAGGGGATCCTGGCGGGATCACCTGCCTAGCCAGCTGAAGGCTGGGGCCAGTCGGCATCAAGACAGCAGCTGGGACCAATGGCGCAGATGAACCCGAGTCTTGCATGGCGGCTGGTCAGTCTGTTTCTGCTTACGGGCCGACTTGTCCACCCTCTCTCTCTTGGCCTTCTTGTGGACCGAGGACTTATCCGAGCCACTATGCTTCCTCTTCTCCTTTTGTTTGCAAGGAGAGCAAGAGGAGCGTTGGGCCTCCGGCAGAGTCGCTCCATCGGCCGATGGGTGAGAAGCAGGCACAGCTGAAGATGAGGGCTGCGAAGTGGGCTGGGCTGTGAGTTGGTTGTAGGCGACCAGGGCCTGGTCCCATAACATTTTACGCAGGCAGTTTTCGTGGTTCTTGAGAGCCTGCTTAGTGAAGGCCTGGCTGCACATCGATTCTGTGACCTTCCCCCAAGCACAGAAGGTGCAGATCATGTGGATCAGTGGGGGGGACATCTTGGCTCCGCACTGGGAGCACTTGCGGAAAGCCACACGCTGAGCCATCCAGGAAAATAGAAGAAAGCAAAGTGGCAGAAAAAGAGTAACGATAGGGTTTATTTTTTGTTCTATATCTATCTATCTATCTATCTATCTATCTATCTATCTATCTATCTATCTATCTATCTAATGGGGAAAGGGTTTAGAAAAACTTCTAAATGGGGGAGGGGGAGGCAAGTTAACTTGGAGAGGAGATCTTAATGAGAATCTAACGAGAGAAAAGAGGAACAATAGACGGTTTTAGAACAATAGCGAGTATATATCTACAGCAAAGAGATGAAAGGCTCAAGACACAGTGAATGGCAATCCCAAGAAGACTGGGGAAATGGCGGGCACTCTGCCTTTTTATACTATGGGGGAGAGGCGCGGAGTTCCCGCCAAAAACCGTTAAAGCTTTTGAATCTTCCTGGCTACAGGCACTGCGCAGGCACAGCACCCATATGTGTGATGCACAGAGGCCACAACGAAGAGCTTTTGAATATAGTTACGAGAAGCAAGCAAAAGGCTTGCGGCACAACAAATGGCAGTCGCAAGTAGACTGGGGAAATGGCGGGCACTCTGCCTTTTTATTCTATGGGGGGAGAGGCGTGGAGTTCCCGCCAAAACTGTTAAAGCTGTTTAATCTTCCCAGCAACAGGCACTGCGCAGGCGCAGCACCCATAATGTGTGATGCAGAGGCCAGGATGAAGAATAGGTCTCTGCTGTCTGCAAAGATCCTCAGTTCATGCTATCTCCTTACAGACCTCAACTATATTGGCAGCCTTCTGAGGCCAAGGATCATGTAATGAGATTTTATCTCTAAACTGATTCAGCTTCTAACATCGTATCTTTTCATCTTAGAGCTTGGATCTGTACTATATATAAGTACTTGCCAGAGGGGGCATATACGTGAAAGATTATTACTCCACCATCTAGTTGCTTGTCCTAGAATTCCTTGTCAGCTCTGCTCAGCCAGGTAAGTGGGATGAGTTGCAACAGATTTGTCTAAGGCAGAGATACTGAGGTGGGGAGCCCTGAGGCTGGGCTGTAGCATTTCTGAATGCATATCTGATAGAATGTTCCCGTTTGAAAAGGCAAAAGAAACTTCTGCACAAGGATCATGGCCAGGCACGCAAGGGAAAATGAGTCCACAGCATTCATCTCTGACGTAGACCTTTCCCTGTAGGGTGAATGTTTTTCATGTGAACCACCTGCAATCTGAAATGGTACAGCCCAGAAAGAAGTGTACCAGCTTTGTGAAAAAGAGGTACAGGGCTTCACAAAGTTACATACCTTCGTAGTTATAATTTCACTTCTCTGTTACAGTTTACAGTTATTACAGTTATTACACACATACTTGTTTTGCCATTCTGATGTGGTGGCATGATGAACTTCCCGGCTGAGAGTGGCTTCAACATGACATTTCCCCATATGGGGCTGCAGTAAAAGAGTATAGCCTTGTGTGAAAATGAAACTGGTATGCTTTACTCAAAGTACTGAATTGCATTCATTTTGTGATTCAGATTAAAACCTTAGCATGCTGACAAGAGATCCATTCAGTTTTAGGTAACTGTCATCCTCTTCCCGTCTCACGTGCTTGCAGAAGACCCCTGACTCTCTGGGGAGACATTTCAGAGGGTGCAGAGGTAAGACACTTTCTGTGAATGTCTTCAAGTTAATTCAAGCCTCCTGTGTTTAGGAAACAGGGTGTTGGGAGGGGATCAGGAACAGAAGCAAAATTTAAAAGCACTTTTTTTGGAAAAAGGCAGTTGCTGGGATCTTCGTGAGTAAATTATTTTTTCTGTTCCCAATTTACTTGATTCATCTGTTTATAGCATTAGCAGGAGAGGAGGAATTAAAGCATTAGAGTTTTATCTACCTATGTAGATTTAGCTGAAAATGCAACATACTTGACAGAAATCCCCTTCAAAATTGCTGTCTACACAGATTATCGTTTAATATGCACTAAAACCGACTTAATGTTGTCTGCGCCTTGGGTATAAATGTCAAACTCTGCGCATATATATGTCCTGGATTTTCTTGAGTACTGAATATGTTTTAATGAATCCAGTCACAACCTTGATAGCTTAGCAGACCTTCTCATGTTCTCTAGTGATGCGTCTTTATCATAATTCAGTTCTTTGTTTTAATGGAATAGTCTTTTTACCAGCTACTACATAGGCTTCTATTTTATTTTTAAATATGTTTTGTTTCTTGGGGTTTTTTGTGCAAGTCCACAGCCTCAATTCTTATACCTTGCAAAGATATGGACTTCTAAGAAGTCCATTGGCTTCAGTCTCACTGCTTAAGCATTTTAGAACATGCAGAAGCATATGCTGAAAAAGGAGCCTTGGTTGATGGGTTTACATTACAAACCACAGGGTGGAAGGCCAGGCATGTACATCATGGAACACAGTGGCTGGAGGCCTTCCCCCACTTGTATTTACTCCGTAGAGTTCTTCCTGAATAGCCTTTGGAGGCAGGAGCATGTATAAGCTGCTGAACACTTGGCTTAAAAAAAAACCCAAACTGGAAAGATATTGATTCTCCCAACATACCCTATTGTATTGCAGAATAATAGGGCACACTGAGCAACATTTACAATGGGTTGTATTGGCATTTCACACTGATTAGATAACCAGGGAAGAATAATTCAGCCACAGGTCAACTGGCTTAAAAGGAGATACTTGTTCATTTTGGCTTGTTATCAAGAACTGCCCTACAATATATTGCCCTACTTAACATTATACCTGACTTGCTGCATATGTGAACATGAAATGTGAAGAAGAGGTCTTCTGGATCATGCCTAATCCAGCACTTTGCTTTTATGCGGATAAACAGATGCTCCTGGGAACCCTCAGCCAGAAAGCATTTGCCCAATCTTTTTTCAAAGCTTTAATGTTGCTATGTACATTTACACCCTTGTAATCTAGAAATAATGTCCACAGAAGAGAGCCAAGTGGTGGTACTTTAAAGTTTCTGTCAGATATCCTGGCCCCTAAGGCACAACAGGGGAGGTGGTTTACCAGGGACAGCAACAGAAAATGGCCTTGCCATTTTGAATAAAGGAACACCGGCATAGGGTAGGTTCAGTTGGCTTTAGGTGATTTCACTTCCACCTATGTGCAGTTAGGGCTTGCTGCTTTAATGGACTGCTGTGTCACAAAGGCAGTTTGGGGATCCTAACCTCCAGGCTATGGCATTGCATGAATGCAGCCTGAAGATTTGGGACATGGAGAACAAGGGCAAGAGAGAGAGACCAAGCAGTGCCACAGCTGTCTGCGGGATCCCCCAAGGCTCTCTTCAAAGAGCTTCTGTTGAAGTCAGACCACAAGTGAAAGGAACAAAAGAGTACTCGCCAATTGTTCTTAAATCCTTTATTTTAATGCAAAATAAGACCATTCAGAATTCATGTGAATTCACATATACAACATTCATGTGAATTCACAAATACAACAAACAAAAAGATGAAACTTTATCTTCTGGTACCAAAGAAAATCCCAATTTTCCCTTGCCAAATAAATTTTCCAAACTTTTAAACAACAACACACACACACACACAAATATAGTGTTGTTTGTTCTTAAAGCTAAACAAGCATAGAAAGGGGTAGCAATGTGCAAACCAGAGTAGCTTCCAATACAGTTCAACTGCTGAAGACAGTGGACTCACAAAAGAAATAATCTGCACTGGATGGCTTGTGATCTGAAGGCTTAAAAAGTAGTTCTGGGTTCTGCACTGAGAAGCAAGTGACTCTCCAAGTAAGTGCACAGATGGTTGGAATAGTCCTGAAAAGTTATATTCAGGGGCCTGATCTGGGAAGGCAATACATGGATCTTAGCTCCCACAAGGGGGATGGAGTGCACCCCAGAGCACTTGGCAGAGCATCTAGGAGTTTGAGAGAGAGGTAGCATTTTCAGGCTATACAAAAATTAGGCAGCATGTGAAGCTGTTTCTGGATAAGGTCATTGGTTGGAATGTAGAACTTCTGAACACAATCTGGAAAGCTGATTTTGAGTTTCCCTTCCTGTTCTCTACACTGCTCAAGAGCCAGCTTTTCAATGGTTATGACCGATGCTAATTTCTGTTTTCACCATAAGTGAATGTCTATAGGTGATTCAGGGAAGGGAACTGCTGGTATCTATATTGAATCTTTAGTCACTCAACAGTTAACAAATACAGTCCACTAAACAAAGAAAGTGGGGGGGGGTTACAACAAGAGTTTGATCCAAAGAACACAGATGATTCCAGTAAATTTAATGGGCTTTCAGCCAGGCATCTGTTCCAAATGCAATTCTTAAGCCAGCCCAGCACTTGGGGAATAAATGTACAAGGCCGGAACTGGGCTCTTGACCACTCTGATCTGAATCCAGTGTGGTAGTCCTTCCCTTCTACTCCCTTACAATTTTGCACCCCTGCTCCAGTGTGTGCAAACCCTTTGGCCCTTTTGGCATGTTTTACTTGAGGCAGACAGCCTTTGAAGAAAATGCATCAAGATTTTCTAGCAACTGCTGTTTGCTCCTTAGATTCCTTTTTTGGGGAGGGGGCATGCTGGAAAGAGTGTTGTTGAATATAGTCAGTTAATGCCTGTGAGGCATTGTATGACCAATAGAATCCCCCCTCTTCCTCAGTTTGCTCAGAGAGACAACCCACCTCTTCACAGGGTGGGCCAACACTCTGAACCCACTCAATCAGGATCAGGTTTTGTTTCCCATCCAGGAGACCCAGATTAAACCTGGCATGGCTCCCACTGGATTGGCAGATTCTTTCAGAAGCCAAGTACAATATGAAAGGAGCTTTTCCGATCCATAATATTCCTACCATTACTGGCACAGGGGGTAAAAGAGCAACTGATTTCTTAGCAGCTCGTGTGAATTTCTTGTTGTTGCAAGTGGTATATTTTCATCCCATCAGCTATAGCACCTTGTGATATATGTGTGCGCTACACATTTGTCTGCAATATGGTGCCGATATAATTTGTTTTTCATTATAGAGAGAAGCAGGCTATATATACATACACACACAAAACACACATGAACACACCTCTGTGCATCAATTAAAGCAGCCAACTGCTTTTTTCCTGTCAGAAATATGGAACTTTGGACCAAAGAGGAAGGCACGCAATTCCTTGTGCTCCTTGTCCCCCCATACGTCAAGAGCTTTTGCTAAGGGTATGAAGCATCTCTATCTTAAAAGATTTTAGAAGACTATGTCCTTTTTTTCCTAAGAAAAGGGAAAAAGTCTCCCACTGATCTAAAAGCAGTATTGTTTAATAAGCCATTGGGAAAGATTAACAGCTCAAAGGAGGTCTCCTTTTGACCTGTCTTGCCCCACCAAATGGAGCCACCACAGTCAATGGGAGTTTTAGAGGGGTGTTTCAGGTTACATGGAAACAATGGAGCACAAGCTTCAAAGGCCATAAATAACGCAGACAGGCTCTTTCCATCCAGTTTGGATTTATCCCTTGCTCCTGAAATGCTGTCAGTTAGCTTTGTAAACAGGAATGAAGCAGCACAAGAAAGGGCTGGGAGGCAGTGATTTATAAGGCGAGAGCTTATCTCCCAAAGCTTCTCTTAATTGTGATTAGGCTAGATAAAGCCACCGTCATCAACATTAGTTACTCCTGCTGAAGGATCCCAATGTATCATTGGATATGTTTATATAAAACCAAAGTACATTTAAAACATCTCATCTCACTCCTAGTGGCCTTTCTGCACCTTGTTGTCTAGCTGCCAGATCTTTGTTCATCTGAGGACTCTGTAGTTTCTATGGTTTATTTTACAGGAACTGAAGGCTGTAAGGTTAGAAACATGTGTGCTACATCCCAAAGGGAAAGTGAATATGTTTCGGTTTTGGAAGGGCCTCCTCAACATCCATCCTGCTTTGCATTCAAAGTTGAATGAATGCTTTGCCTGCATATACTTGAGGCAAATCTTCACCTCTGTGCCGTCCAAAAGAGTTCAAGAGGCAAAGCATAATGTGAAGTAGGAGAGTTTTGACACAGGGAGCTTTTCCACAGGCACATTTGATGATCAGGCCCAAGTCTGGATTTCCAAGAAGGCAGCTGGGCTGGGACTGCCCTGCAATCTCAGTTACCCAGAAAAGTCAAGCATTGGCAATCCAGAGTGTAAAAGAACTGACTTTTCAGTAACTTATACTATTATGAGTAAGCAAAAATACTCTAAACAAATGACATAGTTTACAATACTATAAATGGTGGAAAGTGGAAAACACTCATGTTTCTTCAGAACAAGTTGCATATATCACAAGAAATAGCTTTCCCCCCTTGGTTAGGGAACTTTACGTTAGGGTAGAAAAGTGAAAGTGCAACCCACTATAAAAATTAGACTTTGCTGGACTAGGAATCACAACAAGCCACTATTTTCTTTCCTCATTTTCTCATCATGGATACCTTACAAGATACAAGTGCAGAGGTGTCACAAGGGGTGAGCAACTCAGCAGTCATTCTTCAATAAGCCTGCACAATCTTAACTAACATGATTACATAAAGAGCGGAAATCAGTCACCCACTTATTATTTTTATTATTCATTTCATTTCTATACCGCCCATAGCCGAAGCTCTCTGGGTGGTTTACTTAAAAGTGGGATGAACAAGATTTAAGGCCATTTATATAAATATACTTATCCAAAGCAACATTGACATAGAATTGCTGTTGACTCACTGGTCACCCACTCACAGCCACTTAAAATGAAATTTAGCCACTGGAAATAGCTATTGGCCTTTAAATGATGGTATCTCTATTTTACCACATGAGGGTGCTTTTTAGGAACAAGTAATCATACAATAAGTGCATGGGAAAGTCATTTCTTGGTGACATCTCCCTGTTGAAATTAATCATAGAAGCAGACTTGACATTTCTCATCATTCATTTCTATTTGGAGATGTAGAGGGCTTATTCTTTTAGAGAAGGATGTGGCATACAACTTTGGATTCAAACCCCACTAATCATTGCTCAGGGCTTTGGATGTAAGGGTGAGTTTGGTTAAAATTCAATTACTTATCTGAATATTAATGCTCTGGACAGCAGTGTGTGGCCTGCACGTTCCACACCATCCCTCTGAATCTTTCATAGGCCCTGGAGAAGCTGATGCTTAGCAATGCAGCAATGCAAATGTGTGTACTGTGATAGATTCACTAGGCACCAAGCCTCTCGAGGCCACCTGGAATAATGAAGCCATTCCAGAAAGGGTATATGATGAATGGCTGTGCCTTGCAGATGACCCCTGTGTGCAATATATAATAATTATGAGATGACCTGTGTAATGAATCCTGTTAATTTGCTGCATACCCAGAGAAAACCAACAGATCATCTGATAGAATTCCATGGCCAGGTTCAAGGTCTTTCTGTCAAAAGGAAAAGGACTAAAGCATAGGTTTGAAATGGACTTAGACTTTGAGAAACTAAGACAACACACAGGAGCTGTTCAAAATTCCTATCTGAAAGAAGTTTTAGTAGCCTCATTAGACTGGGTGGTAAAAACCATCTACAGAATTTAAAGGAAACCTCCCCCCCACAACAGTACTTTGCAGCAACTCTCAAGCACTACATCTTCTTGCCTCTGACCCCTCCAAGCCTAACCTCTCTTCTACTCATAGACCACAGCAACACCAGAATACCTTCCACACAGCCTTTCCTCCTTTGTCCTAGTTGCTGTATTGGAAATTATTCAAAACTTCTCTTAATTTTCTATTCCCCATCTTCCAGTGATTCATTAGTTAACCAACCTATTCTCTATTTTTTTTAAGTAGATGCTGCCTCCCCACATCTCCCACCCCGACGGTTGTACTACAGGATTCCTGCCATGCCACCAACAGGACACTGTTTGGCACTGTAGCATTCAGCCAGCCCTTCCAGAGGCTGGCTCTTCCTTCTGGGATCTGCAGAAGACCTGCTTTCACAGAAACCCCAATGGGGAACCCAGGTGCTGTACATGCCTACAACCTTGGTCAGCAAGCAGTTTTAAAGGAGGACTGCTTCAAGAAGGTAGCAGACCAGGTTGATTGCGTCACTTGCCAAAAGTGGATTGCTGTTGAGACATATTCCACAGCCTTCTTGTCTCTGGGCTGGTAACTCTAGAGACCAAATCATGTCCTTCAAAACTCAGGTTTGATCTTTCATCAGCCAGGTGTTGCTGATCCTTGACACAGAAATATTAACTGATGTGTGGCAGGTACATTAGACACTACCAACAACGAGCCTGCTTTTTCCAGATGCACACAGGCCCCCAAATGGACTGAAACTTCCCACTGTCAGGTAACCAAAGGTAAGACACTGCATCCTTTATCTCTTCCCAGGAGTTTTCACAATGTGCACGTGTGAGGCAGATTTTGACATGAGAGCAATTAAAAAAAGGAAATTTCCCAAAGCCAATTAAAAAGACGACTAAGAGAAATAAATATTTTCAATATGGAAAAGACAAAAGCAACTTGTAGGCCACACCATGAATAGCTTCTACCTCCCAGTAAAGCCCTTTGCCAGGGGTGCCTAGAATTACCCAAGTTCTCCAATCAGAGGAAGTCTTAGTGAGGAAGGGCCTGCCATCCTGAGGGCACACACAGTGGGACCAACAGGATGTCGTGTCTGGAACTCCCCAAAGCATATTCCTGTAACAAGGGTATTTCTTAAGTACCTGCATAGTTGCAAAGAGCCCTGAGTGGCACTTTGTGTTGTGCTTAGAAATTCTGCCTATCCTTCATCTAACACTTTCTGTGTACAGACAACCTTTAAAAAAATACTTTCCGATACATCAGTACCTAAAAGTCATGTGCTGCCATGTATAAGCTGGCACTGTATTTAGGAGGCTATCCTGAGCGTGGATTGGCCAGAGTCAAAGGATGTCTCCCCTTGGGGTGGACAAGCTCAGTAGGACAAGCTGTAAGATGCACTCCAACTTCTTCAGAACGTGTTCAGCCTTGGGCTATACGGCTGCAGTCATGGGGTCCTTTTGCCTCGGATCTTGATGCTTGTACTGGTATTGATCGGGACTGGTTCGGCGATGGCCCGGTCTGCCCATTTCGTTATACGAAAGAGCTCTGTGGCCCTGAGGTGGGGATGGCGGCACGTCTTGGCGGAGCGGTCCTTTGTGCTGTGCGACTGACTGCTGCGGGTAATACTGAGGACACCATAACTCTGCTGCTCTTGGTCCATCTTGTGGATGAATGTAGCTCCCTTTGAAGGGATGAACTGCAGCCTGGCCTCCGTGATAGTAAGGAAGATCTCGCTCTTTGTATGTTACCCGTAGCCCTTTTAAATACTCCATTGGCTCTATAGGACCGTGCCTGGGAGGGGAAGGAAAACACAGAGAGAAAAAGCTGTAAATAAAAAGCCATACCTGACTTTCACTTAAAGTTCCCCCACTGTTGGAACAAGAAATGCCAGCCCATGTGAGCCCAAAAGAGAATAAAGAGGGCTGTCAGCAGCATGCTGCCTTGCTAGGAATGCACAAAGGATGCCAGAGCAAAGGGTTGGGGCACATCAGATCTCCTGTCCAAAAAGGCACCAGTGGAATCCTCCAGCTCACAATGCAAGGCACTCATGATCCATTTGTAGTAATGGAAAACAAGGACTCTTTCAACGAGGCGTGCTTGAGTGCGTCTTATCTAGCCTGAGGATAAACAGATGAGTTTGCTCTGCATCCCAGGAAGCCCCACAAGGCTTGTGTACACCAGTGTTCACTCCTCAAAGCTGTTTTTCAAATTTTCTTGTCTCAAACCTATCAGCACATAAAGCTCTCTAAGCCCCACAGTTGGAAAGCCTGAAACACCTGGAAGAAAACATTAAGGGATAGAGAGAGGACAGACTATCTCCGTTTAGTGGCCCAGCTGGCAATTATGTTTCACAGAGGTAAGGAGGGCCACACACATTCTACACGCACAGACATAGGCGGGCAGGAGAGTCTGAATCTTAGAGCCAGCTTTGTAAATTGTCTGCATCAATAAGGATTTGACAAGGTCTAGTGCATGTGAAAAGCAACATGTGTGACCATGTAATGTCAGGAGGCTTGATTATGGAGTCATTTCTGTAGTTTTCTCTGTCTTAATTCCAGGATTTGCATTAATGAGGGATTCTCCCTAATAAGGGTAAAGCTGGGATAAGCGTTACATGGAATACATAACGGTTCTATGTAGATGTCAACACAGAAGCCACAAAAGCACAATGTGATTAGGGGTTGTTCTCTTCAGACTGGAATACTTCTGTTACAGAAGGAACACTGACTCAGTCTGAAAAGAACTGTCGACTGCAACAGTTCTGAGATGCAAAATTAGAGGCCGTGATTTCTACAGTGTCTTGGTGCAAGAGTTGTTCAGGCCAGACATCATATTGTAATCCATCTTTGCATATTTTCTACACATACATGCTTTACCTCTTGGACCTAGGTGTGTTTTTTGTTAATGTTTTATTCTTCTTAATAAATGCTGAATTAGTGCAATTACACTCCTCCTCTCCCCAATAAATTTGATCCAGTTTGCAAGTGAAGGGAGTGGAGCCTTGGAAGACAGCCAGCTTCAGTTTCTGTGGAAAGAAATTCTGGTGCATGACTGCTGAAATATAGCAACATAAATTAACCGCAAGTTAACAGGAGAAAGACTGATAATGAAAGAGGACAGTTAGGACCTTGTCCAGAGAGACAGTACAACATTTACATTCAGACCAATTGAGGAAAAACTACACCTGCTTAACTGTGGAGTAAGATTAACACATACAGCCAGGAAGGAGAACTCAAATAGAAAAAGATCCCCAGATAGTTCCCATGGCTTCCCTATCAATGGCAGACAAACCAACAAACAACCAGAAGTCAAAATGGACCAAGACCACCACCATCCCATTCCAGATGCTGCCCTTCCTGTTCCTGGGTTTGTGTTACTACAAAGGCTCCCCCTCAGCTCACTCCAACGCCTACCTCTCTGTGTTATTCTGTGGTCCCTGGAGGTAGCATCCGATGGTGGCCTGATAAAGGCAAAAAGAAAGCAGGCTTTGGATAGCTCCAAGCAAATCTCGCCAGCTAGAATTGTCCTACAACTACAACAGGAGGACATGGTCTCAGCAGAGACCTGAAGCCAACTAAAGCCTAGTGTAGGTTCACAGCACCTGTAGTTCAATGAGGAGAATCTGACTGGACCCTTACAGGGGCCATGCTTGTGCTTGCAGGCTAAGACCTTTATACCAGAGTGGAGAGATGGAGGTTCTGCCAGGGACTTCTCAGCATCTGAGCCGAAGGACAACAGCAGGATGACTGAGGATGTAGACTCAGCCTTCTCACCAGGATTCTGTGCTCTACACTGGAAGGTCCAAAGGCTGGGAATCAAGGCACCATTTGTGTCAGCTTGTGACAAGCAGTACAGTCCGCATGTATTTAGAGACCATGGGATCCAGGAATGTGGAAACGAGCCACCAGAGCTGTAAGAGTTTCCCCCATTCATGTTTACTGCTAGCTTTGCTTTATTTCTGTTTGCATTTATAGGCTGCTTTTCTGCTTGAAGGCCTCTGCATATAGGTAGCAGCATACAGGTATTTAAAATCACAGGAGCAGCAAGTAAAATCAAACTAACACAGCACAACAACAAGGTTTATCACAAAGCAACCACATAGATTGATACAAGCAAAATAAACTCTGCATATCGAAAGAGCCTCAGAAGGTTAAAGGTTTCCACCTAGTAAGAACATAAGCGGAGCCCTGCTGGAGCAGACTCTTTTCCAGCATCCTGTCTCCCACAGCAGTTAACCAGATGCCTCCCGAGAAGCCCACAAGAAGAACATGAGAGAATCCACTTCTTGCTACCTAGCTGAAAAAGGGGATGTGCTTAACGTACGGCACTTTCCTGCTCATTTGTCAGAGAAAGCAGAGTGTAAAAATAAAGGCTCTTTATTTTTGTGAACAAGCACCAAGCAATCACTTGAATCCCATCGTCTTGACATATCTCTTGTCTCCAGCAGTTTGTGCCTATAAACGCTGCAGAGACTGCAGTGAGAAATGGCACCCTTTTTTTGTTGGAGCAGTGTGTGCTTGGGGCTGACCTACCACAAGAGCTCCCGTGTTGTGATAAGCCTGGGTTTGCAGGGGCCCCTGGTTATTGCTCAGGAGCAGCACATTCATGGCTGCTGTAGGAGAGTGGCTAAGCAACTGTGGAGGCCTGTGCTTTGTTGGGGGTGGTATTTCTTTGAGTTATCAGGGGAGAAACAAGCTGGAGACCCAGGTTTCTACGTCACGTATGTTTAACTGCTCCCACTTGCAACAGGAGTGGTTGTGAAGCGGGCTTCTACCAGTGGTATAAATACAACTGAAAGAAAAATCAAATGAAACTGGTGAGATTTGGCTGAAGGGTCTAGCCAGCCTCACAGGACTGCTGGTGTGAAACACAACGGTAAAGTCAGTCCATACCTATCTTCCTTCCACAGCTGCTGCAGCAGCTTCTTACCCTGGGGAAAGGTAGAAGCTCCCACCTTCCAGCTCATCACTAAAGCAACAGCTTTTACTTGAGCGGTCTGAGGCTGGTCCCTTGGTAAAGCCAGAAAGGCTACAGATCACAGCGGAAGCCTGTGCTCGGGGAGGGACAAGTCCCCAAATAGCATCAATTGGATTGAGCAGAGAATGGCCTGCCTGGCGTTTGGCGGCTTAGGGGGAAACACATCATGCTATTATTTAATACCTTGGTGGCTTTATTCATCAGCTGTCAAGGAGGGATGAGATTGGCTCCATTGCCAACAAAGCAAACGCGCTCTTTGACCAAGATGCATTCTCCCTGTTGTCTCTTAAGGAAGGCCTTGGGAAGGGAGAGAAGCTCAGGCACCAAAGCCTATGCGAGGGTGCAGCTTAGGTGCCAAATCTTGCTCCCTGGGAACTCCACCTGCCCCTCTGGGGCTCCTCAGGTGGTCAGATCCCCTTCCCCTATCCCCTTTCCCCAGCCACCAATAATTGGATGGTGTCCCAGCTTTTGTGCAGCCCCCCTTCTTAAACTTGAGATGTCTCTCCTAAGACTTTGCTTGAGTCTAAATACGCTACTAATCTTGGCCCCTTTTGCATTTGATGTCTCTGGAAATATGCACAATTTGCGGAACATTAAATTTGTCCCAATTTACAGAGCTATAAGAGAAAATAAAGTAGTGCACAATATTGTTGGGAAGAATGGTGAGGGAAGGAAACTCCTGATGATCATGTTAAATGATCTTATACTTCCCTTGTGCTTTTAAAATATAAAAGCTGAAACATAATAACCAAAAATAGGAATTTAAATTTGTGTCTATTTGATGAGAGCAATTGCAAAATACTAGCAAAAGTTAGTCCAGATAACAAACTAGATGCAATTGAAAATGACAAATTCTTTATGAAGCAGGGATATGGAGAGCTAACAATGAAGTAATGAGAGCATAAACTACAAAGTTATTTCACAAGGGAATATGATGTGTATTGTGGGGTTACATGAGGGTTTTGCCAGTGTATCAAATATTAAGAAGAGCATCATCCCATTCATGCAAATTTAAAGCTGAAGACTCCATTTGCAAAAGAAACCCTAGCTGCACAAATCACAATTTGCACAAAAGGTGCTTCATATGCAAAGATCTTGGTTATTCCTAATCTCCACCTAGTTTGGCCACATCTCCAGAACCTGGAAAAAAACCTGGCATGGCTGTTCCATTGCTGGAGTGAAATGCTGCATAAGTCTTCCAGGTTCAAATGAAATGGATTTGCCAGTGTCACTACTTTCTATCAGGATCTGAAAATCCCCACTAGCCTGCTGGCTTTAGTTAGTGTTAGGTCCCACTGAAGCCAGTGGTGCCATGCCTGAAAGCCTACAGTTCTAAACACACTTGCAGTGGAGTGAGCCCCAAGAAAGCTCCTGCTTCTGCCTTAGGCCTCAAGAAGATTTTCCACATCATTCATGTTAAATGGCTTATTTACCAAGGTGAGAATGTTATCTTTACTAACTGAGCTCAGTATCTCCTACATAGGGATACAATAAATTTTCAACCCAACTTATGAACATGTTAAGAGGCCAAGAGCTGAAATAGGCTAAAAATGAGTCCGTATGACAGCCATGTGCCTCTCATTGGCTTGTGAGACTGTGCACAAGCAGTGCTTGTGCACTTCCACCTCTCATTTCCGTTGTGCCTTAAAATACCGCTGGATTTTTTAAATCACAGTTTCCCATTACAGCTAAACCATGAAACTGGTACCTGTTAGTAAAAACCAGAATATCAAAGTGTTTGTCTCCTGGCTTTTAGTCTGATAGAAAATCCCAGAAGTGTTTAATTATGGTATGAGAGAGGAGGGAAGAGGAAG